AACCCCCACCCCGCCTCCTAGATGGCTAGATCTAGAATTTTCTGCAATCCCTTTTAATATCAACTCCGGCTAGCCATCGTGAAATAAGGCAGTGTTTGAATTGAGGCTATCATGTAGAGTTGCCGTTTGGGAAAGTCATCTACTATCAATTTAGCATTTGAATTCATTTGAATAGCAGATTGCCACAATTCAACGTTTTGAATTTCTATGGATTGTCGAACAAAGTTTCAGGTTTGGAAAGTCATTAGGGAAAATTGCCGAACAAAGATTTAGATCTGGAGAAGCAATCACGTGAATTTGTGAAATGAACAGTGAGGGGCATTTTGGGACAAAGGGAGTAGTAAATATGAAGTTTGTTGAGAGTTAAAGCGCATTTTTCTTAAACAGGACTAAAAAAGTGCTTGCTAAAAAAGAAAATGTGTAGATCATTTGGGTCATCTGAAAAAGGAAAGAGGGAAGATAATTTTGGGGCAAAGGAAGCAATAACTACTCGAATTAGGCAAAAATCATTGATCAACCAATGGGTATACCTTGTCTTGTTGGTTGGTAGATGGAAAAAGGGTAATGTGTCACCACATCATTATCTCCTGGGGTTGGTAGCATGGAATTTATACTGTAAGTTAATTTACAGAGTCTAGTTAACATGATAATTTTATGAAAAAACATAGTGACATAGTTATACTTTTTTGGTGACAGAGTTATCACCAATTGTCCTTGTTGCGATGTTGTTACAAGTTACATCGAAAAACTATGATGAAATCCCAAAACTCTCATAGTATCATCATCAAATATTTTTACCACTTCCATGGATGATATAATGAATCAAGGATGCATTGCGCTGGTTGTTATAATACATTCTACTCTTCGTATAGTAAGATTGATATTTAAAAAGACAACGTGCACATAATAAAGCATGCCCATGTTTTTAAAAGTATATCCAAAAGCACATTTTAAAACAAATATATTACATGTTTTCTAACGGGCTAACGGTAGCAATATTATCCAAGCACCATTAACCTGCACAAGCCCAAGCACGTTAAATGGGTTTTGGCCAACCATAAATAGATATGGACCTTAACCGGGTTGACCCGACGATCACTCAGACCTTACATAGGCTACTCAATTTGCCAATTTAAGAGGCCTAATACAAATGGATTTCCCCTGTATTTTGTTACACTTATAAATTCATGTACTAAGATGTCAAAGAGACAAAATCTGCCTTATTTGGTAATTTTTATTTTTTTTCCAGTTATTTCTGATTTTTTCAACTGTGATTAGATCTGCTATATTGTAAGGAACAGAATGTTGGGCAGCAAATGGTGAACATGAACACAAGGTTAGTGTGGCAGAAATGATGTTTTGTTTGATGAGCAGTCATACGTGTATCGATAGAAATAGAAATGAAGATACGAGAGCTAAAGTTGGAGTGACACCTATGGTAGAAAAGATGGTGGAAACTCGTCTTAGGTGATTTGGATATGTGGAGAGAAGACCAATAGATTGGTGAGAAGGGTTGATCAAATGGTGAATAGACATGTGGCTAGAAGAGGTAGACCAAAGAAGACTTGCAAGAAGTGGTCAAGGGGAACCTTCATGAGAGTGATCTCACAGCAGATATAATACATGATAGGGCACAATGGCATTGTTTGATCCATGTAGCTGACCCCACCTACTGGAATAAGGCTTTGTTGTTATTGTTGTTGTTGTATTTCTGATTTTTGTATTTAAATAGGCTAAACAGGTCGTGCATATTCGTGTGTAACATGATAAACATGATTGGTGTGCCATGCCATGTTACCCATCTATTACTTGCGGCATGCCTGGTGTAAAATATTTGCCCCATGGCTCCAAGTACAATAATCGGGCTGACCTGCATAAAGCCAACCAGCCTGAATTACCGCGCCCAATGTTTTCTTGCCTAAATATATGTAATATGTGGATGCCTTGTGGCAGCCTAGATGATCCTATAAAGAAGCCACCTTTATGCACAGTTTCAGATTACAGTGTAGGTATAATCCTAACTCCTAAGAGACTGGAGGTGAACATATTTATTGAAGAAGAGGACTAGACTTCCCTCACCAGATGAAAAAGGAAGTACACACAACAAACCAAACTCTTCCAACTGCAGTGTGTATATAATCCGTAGTACGGGTACCTGGACATAAGCATATTTATTGAAGAAACGGACTAATGTCTCCACCAAATGAAAGAGGAAGTCCACACAACAAAGCAAACACTCATTTTTACCAATCTTTGACCTGACTCCTCTAATCTGCATTAAACAAAATGGATATAATCATCACTTATATCAGCTCATATAGGAACTTTAATACAACTGACACAGAGATACAACTTTCTGAACACAAAAAAATTACTAGACCCTTATTAGAATTACTTAATACATAATGCAGGTACTAGGTTAATTTAACTGACCTTCCATCGCAATGCACGGATAGCGGCCGTAAAAAGTGAACCATAGCAGATGCTCCCAAAAGAAGTAGTGATGGCATATCTCAGAGAATTCAACAGCGGTTTAGGAGGCATTGATGCTTCCGCTTGACCACCATGGTATAAAACATAAAACACCATCCCGGAAACTATAACATGAACAATGTTACAAAAAACAGCACCTGTCCAGAATAAACTCACACAGAAAACCTGAACATCCAAGGAAAAGAATTGGTTGAATTGTTTTATGAAGTACTGAAGCAAAAGCTGAAATCGTAATTAGTCATATTCAGAGCAAAAACTTGCCAGCTCACCACAAGTAGCCACCAACGTCCACCATCGCCAATGCTTAAAGCCACAATACCAGCTACACCAAAAGACCACAGTACTAACCACGAGAGCATGGCCACCATAAATGCACATGATACTCCCATAACTTCAGGAAGGCTCCACACCATCTTTACTGCTTTTTGTAACACTAGCATGGTAAACGGAAATCTATACAAAGGAAAATATATGCAAAAAAACTGGAATTATAAATTTGAAAATTTTCAGTTTTCCCTTTTTGTTTATAGCATATAGGAGTCCAAAGGATTTGACAACTTAATACATTTCATGGTCAGAGTAACAGAGATAGGGGTGGCAACTGGCAAGCACACCAAACAAATTGTACACTGAAAAGAAACAAAGAATATCCATTTTGGTTTCAGCTTTGCTTTAGTTATACCCCTAAAACCCGATTGAAAACTAGAATTGAGCCCAAAACAAAAATATATAACTAATCATAACATCAGGGCGAATTATAAATGAATGATAAAATACATTTTATGTGTACATGCACATGCAAGCCTAGAAAGGCACGGCCTCAAACCTTCACTTTTGAGCTAGCTTTTGCACAAGATTTAAGATCTAGGATTGAGTTCCTATTATTGGTGTTCACCCAGTGCTGCTACCTAGGAGTGCGACCAGGTGATTAACAAGATCCGAAATTAATCCATTTAAGGTGAAAAGAAACTACCAGGCAGCAAGCAGAGTTCATAATGAAAGCCACCCAAAGTAGAGCTGTATGCACATGTTCAAGCTTTTAAAGGAGGATGTGGAATGATATGATCCTCCAACATCTATCCACAAAACATTGTGGATGGTACCTAATTTGTGGTCCAAATTCCATTCCCGAAGTAGCTTCTCTGGTGAAGTTAGAGTCTTGGATCGAGTTTCTATTATTGCAAGTAGTGGGAAACTTGTACACTACACTAACATGTCCAAAGCCCAAAGTTTCCTAATAAATTGTTGTTTGTTGTAAATGTCCCACACAAATTTTCTTTATTGAAAGCAAAAATGGTTTGCAGTTTCATTAACAGCCGTGGATGGTATTGCAACTCATGAGGATGTCCAGAAAGATCTTGTTCGACCAGGTATCACAAGTTTCGCAACCACGTACTTGACTTTACAGTGCATTGGTAGTGTGAAAGAAGCTCTTCATAGAATATTAATCTCAAAGAGTGGACAAAGAGTAGGTTTGCAAAATCGGTTGAAGGTAAAGAGGGGAAGAAATTTATCATGGATGAAGGTAAAGAGGTAAAGATTGGGTTTCTATCATTGTAGCTAGTGGCAAACTTATATACTGCACTAACATGTCCAAAGCCCAAACTTTCCCAATAAATTTTCTTGTCATTTGTCATAAGCATATGCCACTTTTTAAGCGTTTCAAAAAATGATGTTGATTATTATCACTTTTACAATATGATGCAGAGTATATCTTTCTTATGCTCATTGCTAAGATATAAACACATTGAATTTTGCACACATAAAACGTAATCCCCCCGTGGGTTATTTTTCTCATAGTTGGTATATAGTTCATACACCATTTTCTAAGTCTTACTTGTACAACAATGCAATAATGAAGTTATTTTTTTCCCAATATTTTGCACTCCCTCTTACCACGTTATAAGGGGTTGTTCACATTACGAGGTTTGGCTGAAGTTAATTTCAATTCATTTTTTAGACAGATTAAACTACTCTAACAGTTCTACTAAACCACAAAAGTCAAACTTGATATGAAAAATCTCCAATAGTAATGAAGAGAAGAAAAGAGGATTAGGTTAACCACATGAATGTCTAAAAGGAAGAAATGGTAAAATAATTTCACAAAATTTACTTTCTACAATTTAAAGCTTTAATCACAAATCAGTGATATCCAATAGATGAACCAAGGATTAAACTCATCTAAAAGTGTCCTTATCTTCCACTCTTTTCCATTTTTTCTCTGTTTTCTTCGTCAAACATAGTATTTTCCACCAAAAAAGAACATAGCAATCATATAAATTACAAACTTACAACCACACTAATGTCATCCTACTATACTTAATCCAGTTTAGTATGATCCACATCATCAAGAATACAACAAATATTAGCATTGCTAGTACTTGTAAAAGTATACTAAAACTAAGACTGGTTGTTTATGTAAATTCATGTTCTTGGAGATTAGGAAAAAATTGAGTAAAAATAGTCTCTCATTAATTTTTTGTGGAAAATGGCTCTCTTCTCAACAGAGTAAGTCATTTTCCAGAACCAATTTTGCCTTTCCAGTTTTCATGTGTTACTCCCTACAATATATATATATATAGAACAATTTCATTTCCAGAAATATTTTCTAAAAAATATATTCTACAAATTGTTTTTCAACAATCGAACATAGAGTAACTTAAGAAAACAAAATAATGAAGTACAAGTTGTCATCTCCTCAATTAAGTCTTCGATAGGAGCCAAAGTATACTTTTTACAAGAGGGTGAAAAAAGAATCATCTTCACAAGCTTTGTTTTCTTTAGTTGGAATTTAAAAACTGCAAATACACATAGCTTATGCAGGATTATTTGAGCATATACAATTATTCACAATAACGAGGTATCAGTAAGTATTGACAAACAAAGTTTACCACAAATATATGGGCTCAATCATCTAAAAAGATGGAGATCCGTGGAAGAATCACACGCCAAAAGGGTCCTGTTGGAAAAGAAGGGCAGATTCTATATGGTAGTCATTTGCCTCGTTATGATGTACATGTACGAGTGTTAAACAATTAAGAAGATACGTGATTGAAAGTTACAAGCCGCATAGATGAGGATGCTACGATGAACGTGTGGCCATACCTTGTTCCAATATGTCGAATGTGGTATTTCTATTAGAGCTTGCTGTCAATGCGTCATGCCTATTGTTGATAAAATAGGAGAGGATATGTCGTGGTGGTTTGTTCTCGTTGCCCAGCAATGCTACGGCACCTCAGAGAGATGTTGGGAGGACAATGAGGATGTTGGGCAAGTAGTTGAAATTGGAAATTGGAAATTCGAAATTTGGACACGGTCTCTTTAAACCTATCTGAGGATATGGCCCATCATCGGAGTTCTTGGAGATACTATATTAGAGTAGTAGAGTTCTTATAGGGGTTGCATGAGTTTTGTGGAGTGTATACCCTCTTAGCTCTCTTTTATGAGGTTTTGATGGTTAGATGTTCATATACTCTTCTTATTGTGTTGCCCTTTAGCTTGCAGTTGTACACAACTCACACTACTTATCAGGTCTTGGAAACAACTTTTCTGCTCCATGGACTAGAGGCAAGGTTTGCATGAATCCTACCCTCAGGCCTTACTTTCGAGTGGGACATACTGAGTTTTTGTGGTTTTGTTTGGTGCAATTATTCACTAAATTGTTGAGCGTGTACTCAGTTTATCTCATTGTTTTCAAACATAAAGAAAAGAAAAAAAAAGTTGTATTTCTAACTTATACCTACCTGTCTATTACAGATATGACATACAAGAACTGCAAAGCTGCGCCAATGGCAAAGGTGATGCCCCAAAATATCTGTGTCCACCAAAAACACAGCACACTGATCACTGCAAGATACGTAGTCAAGATATGCACTGAGAATTTCATCATCTGGGTTGCCTGTGAACCGAGCAACAACAGCCAAGCCCAACCAAGTGCAGTCGCGACTCCAGCCGCAACCGCATACAACAGCCAATAATCCTCAGTCAGGCCCTCACGATTGTCAAGAAATAACATTGTATATCTGTCAATCTTTAGCCTATCCTTTTCCTTAAACCTATTAAACCCAAAAACTCCAAGGGCCATACCAACCACTATCACATGCAACAGGAATATCACCAACCAAAACACATCTCTCCAATGGCGTGAATTTCTCGGAGTGGCTCCTAGAGAATGACTTGTATCAGCCATTGTATGATTCCCCATGTCATTCTGCAATTAAATATATAGATATTTACATTAACAAAGATAAAAGTTCTACAATAACCCATTTAAAAAAGATATTAGAGATTTCTTTGTGTACTTCGCTACCAATGGAATCCAAGCCAAATGTGAAAATGGAAAAGTGCACCAATTTCTTTTTACTTCTTTTCTGGTAAAAGGAATCACACATAGGAGCTCTGGTATTATGCAAAACGGCCACTTTTCATGTCAAATTCAATGCACTTCCCACTGTCTTAAGTACACGTTATTAAGCAGCCCAAAAAATGCCCATGAAGTGTTTACTTGCACCATACCAACCCACACCACCCAAATTACACTTAAATCAGAAGTTCTTTTCTCTGAATCCGTGTTCATACATGGATAATAACTGACTGATTCACACAACTGCCACAAAATGTGTATAGTATGAGAGTAAAGTTCACTAAAACTTGGTACCACGCCAAAACCCTCAAATCAAAGCAACAAAGTTCCTGGTCAATCGTTCAAACCATAAATTCGCAAATAATACTTGTGAATTGGGCTTGCCGCCAGGAGTCAACATAAGAGTCACACTTCCCAAATTCAAATGCAAAAACCAAACTAAGCACGATTAACATGTCCAGAAAGATGATCCCTGGCAAAATTTAACTTGCCCAATTACCTGCGGCTCTGAGGGAGCGTCTTTGAAGGAAGACGAATAAGAAGAAGCAAAAGAAGACCCTTGCGAGTCGCTCATGGCAGCGGTTTGCTGTCAATCAAACGGCGAAAAACCGTAAATGGCGGAAAAAGTAGAAGAATTTGCATTTAGCATTAATTAGATCGGTTTGTATATCGCTGATTATTAAGTTTGAAAATTATAGAAACTGAGGAAGAAGGAGAGGCGAAGCTGAGAAGATAAGGGAAACGAAGTCAATGGAAGTTAGGGGATTTGAATTGACACATTTTTCTGCCTTCGAGTTTCGCCTTACCTTACTTAAGCACCCTATTTTAAACAGTTGTGCTTTAAGCGGACTCTTTTGGAATAGCGTTAGAGTTTTGAAAAGGCTATCTACGGGTACCGTTTAGAATTAGTGTTTTCAAAGTAATTTGCATTGTTAAATTTTTATCCAAAACGCTAACGTTATTCCTAAACAGGCCCGATATCAGCTTCGATTATTTTTTGTGGGCTGGGAATAGCTTTAGCGATTAGCGTTAGCGTTTTGAAAACGCGATCTACGGGCTGTGTTTAGCGTTAGCGTTTTCAAAGTAATCTGCACCGTTCAAATTTTATCCAAAACGCTAAAGCTAATCTCTAACGTTATTCCCAAACAGACCCTATAAATACTAACTCCGTCCCAAATTATTTGTCACATTTATATTACCGAGGTAAAATATCAAGTTTTTCAATTCATTTTATTTACATATTGGTAAAAAAAATTACATATCAAAAAACTACATGAAAAGTTCTTCGAGATAAGAGGTGTCAAGAATATTTTATTTTATCAAATAACCAATGAGAACGTAGAAATAAACAAAAGTTCTCGCGACTGTTGAAAAAGCAAATGTGGCAAATAATTTGGGACAGAAAGAGTACTAGCATTCTTGTTGGACAATGTGCTATCATGAATATATATTTTTGCAATGTCTTTTGCCCATTGTCTTTTACGTTTTGATAATGACAAAAGGGTGACAAAACATCATCATATTGTGCATCAAGGCTAAAAATCAAGCTACTACAAGTTCATATCCGTCCGTGAAGAAGGGACTTGAGCATCGGTGGAAGGAACGAGACCGAAGAGGTTGTTTCCTTAGTTGGGTAGTGTTTTAGGTCTTAGATTATGTGTTAAAGAGTATGGCATGTCTAAGGTTCATTCCCTTATCATCCTACTTTTAAAACACATTTTTAATCAGCCTTTGTGTGGGAAAATTGCCTTTCTATTCGAATAATCTTTAGTTTATTCGAATAAGTCGTGATCTTTCCTGTGACTGAAATTAACCTGTTTTATTCGAATAAATCCACCACTTATTCGAAAAAATCATGGTTTTCAGCCTGATTTATTCGAATAAATCACCCATTTATTCGAACAGGAACTGGTTTTTCAAGTCACGCGATTGATCCAAACTATTCGAATAGTTTTTGAGTTATTCGAATAAGTCGACAGTTTCAACTACCAAACGACTAGTTTTTTGAATGCTTTTCATCCCTATCCACTCCCTAACTTCTATAAACTACATACTTTTGTGATTATCTTCATAAGAGCACTTAGAACACTTTGAAGAACATATCCTTTGAATATCCAAAGAGATTCTACTCAATCCCCTCCTTATATCCACGCAAGGCAATTGTTTTGATTGCTAAATCATTTCTTGCTTGAGTTTTTCCTCATTGCTTGAGTCTTTGAGAGATATTGCCATATTCTAAAGGACTTCATTGTATTTACAACAATCTACTTCGTGTTGGGAGAATTACTCGGTTGTGGTTTGTTTTCCTACTTTATTGTAATGGATTTGTATTCTTGGTGTTGGGATTACACCAAGTGGTAGAAATCCTAACGGTTTGTGAAATCAAATATTAGGTGGAAAAAATCTTGAGTTTTGTGAAATCAAAACTTCGGTGGTAAGATAAGAGGCTCGTGAAATCAAGTTATCGAGTTGTATTGAGATTGTCAAACTCCGTTAAGTTTGACGGGTTAGTGAAGGCCTGGGCACGATTGCTTCGGGGACTGGATGTAGGCATTTAGGCCAAACCAGTATATATCGTGTATGCATTGCTTTTATCCTTCACTTTATTTTCGTGAAGAACATTTCCGCACAAAAAAACTAGTCTTTTGGGCAACACCTCTATTCACCCCCCCTCAGAGTGAGGGATTCTCAAAGCTTTACCGCTGAAAATTTAAAAAAATATTGGCCGAAAGAACATTTCAACCCGGAGTTGCCGAAGGACAATCCACGACAAGGCCACCACTCTTCGACGGCACAAATTATGCGTATTGGAAAGAGAGGATGAGATTATTCAGCCAATCAAATGATTATGATTCTTGGTTGGTGATCAAGCATGGAGAGACAATTCCCACGAAGACTGATGACGGGGTTCTTGTTCCAAAGTTAGAGACTGAATATACCTCAAATGACAAGAAGAAGATGAAACTAAATGCAAGGGCCATCAACTTTCTATATTGTTCCGTGAACCCGAATGACTATCGGAAAATCTCTACGTGCAAGACGGGCAATGAGATGTGGAACAAATTAGAGGCCACATATGAAGGAAACGTTGAGGTGTCTAAAAAAATCTGGTCTTTAGGCGTCTAAAAAAAACTGATCTTTTTGGATGACTATCGGAAAAAACTGGTCTTTTGGGCAACACCTATCCCGCACGATATCCCATAAAATGAGCTATTTAATTAGCCTAATACAGGTTTTCCTTCACGATACTCCATAAAGTGAACTATTTAATTACCCAATAAAGGTTGTCCTTCACGTTATCCCATAAACTGGGTGTAACACCCTAATTCCGTAAAATTTAAAATATTTTGAACACTTTTATTTATCACAATATTATTTTTCATATCATAACAGTATGGAGTTTTCAATATTGCGGAAGCTTAACAAATCATAATCACAAACATAATTTATTTATGTATTTCAATTCAAAACCATCACATCCATTCTGACAATCTCGCCTCTGTCCGCCTTTAGGATCACGTGACTTCTTTCTTTCTATTAACTTGCGTGTAGCAAATAAAACATACTACACGCTCAGCGTTGAAGCTGAGTAAGCATATCTAATGTGTCGAACATCCATATAAACGGAATCTAAATTCATAATCAAATCATTTGATATCATGCACATAATGTTCAGTTCAGATATTCAATAATCACTAGTCAATATTCATCATTCATTATTTAACATTTATATTCACATTCAATATTCATCATTTATATTCATAATATTCACAATATTCAATTCAGTAAGCATCATTCAATATTCATTCATAACCAATATTCAACATTCGATAATATCCTTAAACTATTCTTAGTCTAAGACCAATCACTTTAATGTGTATCAACACTTAAATGAATTCTAGTTTAAGATAATTAAACTATATTCCCGTTGAAGGTCCTCCTAAATAAATCTTGAGCTAGACCTATTTTAAGATAAAAGAGGTCTTCGAAATCTTAAACTTACCTTCACTTAAGGTCAACCAGAAATCGACAACGTAGTGTTCACTGTTGGGTGGGTGGTACCACCAAACGAGTAGGTACTCAAGTTTGGTTTTTGGATCTCGTACGTTCGCTTTAACCCAGCCACCGGGCATCATACCCACAAGGCCTATTTCTAATCTATCTTAGAGGTCTTTTAGATAGTATTAGAAACCAATATCAATAGGGATATATCTTAGAGTTCTAAATATCCTTAATAGTTCATCATCAATTTCCAAATGGGTATATCCTAAAGTTCTTCTAGATATCCTTAACAACACAATTCATCAATCCAAATCATTTCATAATCATCGATGTATTTATTACAAATCATAGTTTAAATCATTCACAATAATCATTTTAATCAGTAGGTTCATCATCAATACATCATAATCATCCATAACAACAATCATCATAATATTCAATAACAATTAGTGGCATAACGTCAAGTGTTAACACCCTAGCTTACTCTCATGCATCACGTAAAGTCCTCATAGTTGTCAAAACATCATTTTTATTCCAAGATATCATCTTTATATTTAATCATAATTGATTGGTATCAAAAATAGGATTTTAGAGCTCAAAAATAACATTTTTCATTGCTGACAGTGTTCGGAACGGTTGACCTTTGTGGCCAAACGGTCGACCGTTATTGCAACCGTGGTATTGCAGTTTCTGGTCTTAAAACGGTCGACCTTGGTGGAGGAACGGTCGACCTTTGTGGCAGAGCGGTCGACCTTTTGGCAGAATGATCGACCATTCCTGCAAACCAGCCAATAGCACTTCATTTTCAACCTCGGGTTAAATTTTTGAAAAATCATTTTAAGCCACCAAACTTCAATTAAATTATATAGAAATGTTCTCCAATGTTCATAGATCATTTAAATACCATTAATTTGAAGTTTTAACAACAAATTCAAGGTTAATGATTCTTGGTTATTCAAGCATGTCAAACACAAAACTCAACCAAACAACCGTTTATGAACGTAGAAATGATATATACGAACATTCTAGTCACTAGATATATCTACGAGCTTATCTCAAAGCTTAACGAAGGTTTTGAGAATTTTCCGGCGAAACTTCCGGCGATGATAACTCTCAACTCCGGCGACTTCTCACCAAATTGACAGCACCACTTTGTTCTCCACACTCACATCTTCCTCTCAGAGTTTATTTGAAGATAAATGATGAAAAAATGGAGGAGTATGGGTGCTTCTTATATAAGGAAGGAGATGAGGAAGAAACATGAATTGTGAGTCACTGATGACTCGTGAACGACATTAGTGCGCAGTCGAGGTACACTTTTTTGTCAATCTTTCACCGAATTGAATTCCGTCTACACCGTTGCGATCGAGCAGTCGAACTCTATTCAACGATATAATTTTTATATTTATTTGTAGTACTTTTTCTGATATCTTATTTTTGGAGGTTTAATTTTGACAAAGTCAAAATTGATTTAATTGACCTTTATTCATAAAGGTTTTCTCATTTAATTTATACCATTTATTTCCATGATTTGTTTTAATAAATCATTTCAATATTTACGTCACAAGTCAATTTCTTAATTTATTTTTGATTTAGGTTTGTACTCTGGTTCCCAATCAAGGTTACACAAATAGTCAATATATTGGATTTATCTCTATGAAATTTATCTAGATTGTGATATTGGATATCAGAACATATTTCATTTCGGCCCAAAGCACACAACAACAATTTATTATTATTATAATTATTATTTTAATCAAAACAATTTGATTAATTGATTTATTTATTCATCAATAGTTCTAGGGTATGTTTTGGTTTTGTG